CCTGAAAACATCTGGCAAATATCAGGTCAATCTGGCCAAAATGACGCTTTCACAATATAAAAAGAAAGCATATAAGTGTACCTTTTTTTTTTTTTAAAGCTGGGGAGAATGTAGCATTAAACCCACAAATATCTAATTCCTCCTCTTTCCCCATCCTCCTCGTCTGGTCTAAGGGCAGGTAAATTAGAAGAACCTCAGTACTAAGAGTGCCTTGAGTCTCACCTGCTAGCTCTACCACAAAAAGGCTGATATGATTATTCATCTTAGTTACAAGCATATTGGCCAAATTAAATGTTAACTGCTAAGGAACAGAAATTACTAAAAGATCAAAGGTTTTTCCAACATCAAAATTTGGAGTTTTTAAAAAAAAACCTGAATGTAAACTTGACAAGAAAAACAAACGTGTAAGCAGCTGCCCAGTTTTCTATAAAGACCTGCAAACAGGCAGATGAAAAGATAAAATCTGCAGATCATTTTTTGACCAGTAATTTAAGTACTTTAATGTCAAAAAGCGATTACTATAGAAGTGATTTTTGAAGATCACTTTCAGAACATAGGTACCGTCACACTTCACGGAAGTGGAGAGAAAACATGTGTGGCTGCCTCGGCGGGACAGGGCTCCCATCAAAACAGCAACCCCACAAATAAGGTGGGCTCTCCTGATTCCAGATAGCCCCTTAGATGGGCTCCAGAACCAGAAAAAAAGGGAAAACTCATGAAAGGAGAAAAATCAAGAAAGCAAAAATAGCTTAAACTCAGGTCTGCCTATTTCCAAATCCACATTCCCCATCTCACCCCCAGCCCTCAACTGAGGAAGTCAAACCATTCCGCGTGATTTCTTCATGTAACAGAACACTTATGAACAGGATGCACTTACACAAAGAAAGAGGCCGAATTATGCATCGACAGAAAGTCGTCCCCCGCTAATAAAATCAAGGCAGTAAGCACAAGAATGATTTATGGAACCACGTCTCTAATTCAACGGAACACCTGAAAATGCAGCTTTCCTCAGATTCACCCGAGGCTGTCAAGAGGAAATCCTCTCTGAAAACACAAATACACCTTCATTCAAACCAGAGGGAATTTTTTTAAGGGAGTTAAAGGGGAACTTACGTAGATCTGATTTCTCCTGTATCGCTGGTACAAGTTGTGCATGATGGCGCCCCCGTGGAGCTCGGTCAAGGTGGCCATGTCATCCACACCCTCCTCATCCATGGGGTGCATGGCTGTCACCTTCTGGTGTGTGATTGTGCTCTGCTTGTAAGTGAACACCTGATTGGGGTGGGAGGGGAACGAATTCAACTGTTTAGTTATCAGCAAGGAACAGTTTCCACAGACGTTTCCCCAACTTATAATACAATCCCAGTATAATTTCAGTAACGGGATCCTGAACCCGTCAGTAAAAGACAGACTGCAGAGAACTCTTTCAGATCCTTCCTGCCACCTACCTATTTTTAAATTATTCTGACAGCTGCTATTAGATATTCCTAAATGGCAAGTTCAAGTACTAACCATCCTTTGGGAATTGCAGAAATTATACATTTACAGTTCATGTCTCTCCCACTGATCTGAAGCAGTAACAATTAAGAGACTGGCTCCCCAAGCTTTCAGAAAGTAATCTGATTTCACTCCATAATGTTTCACATAGGATTGTATGATGTATTTCAAAGCTTCCTAACAAAGCTCTTCATTCTAATAAGTGTTACATAAATTCACCATATAGTCTGTATATTTTCTCAGAGATGGGAACACATCTTCTCAGGAATGCCTGAAAAATATCCTTGGACACGATCCCTCCTCAGTCGTGAATATACAGCATTCACGTGATTGTTAAGCAAAACATATCCTCTCAGATTTAAAATACAATCAGTTTGTCGGCTTGACAGCCTGTCTTCCTTATAATTTATCCCAACACCAGTGACAGCCCTGCATGCATGCTGTAGCATGTATAGCACACAACTCTGGTATTATTGTAAGACTGGTTACTGAACTCGCGTGTATTTCTAAAATCTACCCAGGGCTCTTTTATCACCACTGATTGGGTAGAGGATTAACCACGTCAGCACCATCTGTTGGCCAGTTTGACCAGCTCTACAAAACTGTGCATCAATCAATTATGGAAGCTATTCCATATTTCTTCATGGTACGCTTTTGCTATAGTCACCCTTAAAACAGATTAAAAACACCAAGATGTAAAAGCAAGATGTAAACAACACGAAAGATGTCCAGTCTTCACAAGCACACATATTCGCATGTGCACACACGCCCAAAACAACTTTCTGGAAGAGTGTTTGCAGACTGGGGGACTCTATTTTTAAACAGTGACCGGTTGCCTACATGGCAGCAAATGGTATGTTATTGCAAAAGGGAATGACACACTAAGAAAAGCAAAAGTACCAATCCAATGGTTTCCATAAGCCATGAAAAGTGGCACGTTTTATTTTTCTGGAGACAAAATGAAAACTTCCGCAGAGGCATCTCTGCCACAGGAACCATAAGAGCTGGTCAAAACCAGTACTGAGAAACTGCTTGAGGCCAGGGCAGACACCAACCCTCTCTTGTGAGGTCCAGCCAGTTTCCCCAGCTGCTTCCTGGGCCCAGACATCCACCAGGAGATGTGGCAGCCCCAGCAGCCCCACCTCATGGCGAGGTGGCCACCCAGCCACGTAAGCACCCCAAAGGGCAGGACAGGCTGGGGGCGGCTGAGGGAATGCAAGGTGGGGCCAATCCAGGCAGGTGTTCCAGAAACACAACTGAGCAGGGTACTTGCGTCTTCCATCTACAGCCACTGTGAGGCTGGGACTGGAGCAGAACCCATCCCATCTGGCCGCACTCTGGCCAGCGGAGGGGTGCACATGGTGTTGTGTCCCCCTCCGCCCCCAGCACACCCAGAGGGTCTCCTCAATCCACCTGCTCAGTACTCCTGCCAACACGAGGGCAGGGTGGTCACATGGGTTCCCCAGGAAATACTCTGGTAGGAAAGTCAGCGCAACAGTCTCTTGTTTAAGCCCCTGAAGACCCACCATCAGCAAGTCCTTCCCAACGTGAACCTTTTTTCTACTTTTTGTAGAAATATTGTCTGAGTATACTGAGAAGCCCAGAATTTGAGAACAGATTTAATTTAGAAGATTAAAACTGCTGTTTGCATTTATACTGAATCTTCTTTTTGGAAATGACCCTACACACCCTACAAAACTTAGACACTAAAAGATATACATATAATGAATATTACATCGTATGTAAACATTTCCTTGTCTTTTTTAGTGCCCTGGAAACAGCTAGACAATGTGTGAGCCCAAGTAAACAGCTCAGAGCTGGACTCATGAACACTGAAAAAAAGGGCTATAAACTGTGAATTGAATTCCCCACATTTGTACATTTGACCTCTCTGTATGTTTTCAGGTGCACACTGTGTGTCAGATGTGGGCACGTGGCCATATTCCAGGAGTAAGAAAATCAAGAGAACCAGAACTCTTCCTTCTCAAGACCTCAGAGAGACAGAATCATGATGGAAGAGTTACATAAACAAAACAAGAGGCTGTGAACAGGACAGAGAGATACATTATGCCAAGACAGAGGACTGGAGCTGCTCAAAGCAATGATTATCTCAAAGTGAGAGAACAGAGAAAATGTGTTTATGAAAGAAAGGCAGGGAGAGCCATCCATTCAGAAATGGGTTAGTATCTGTAAAGATTTTAGAGTGGTGCCTGGCACAGTGATACCTCATAAATTAATGATGAAAATCCATCCATTCAAGCAAATATTTACTATTGTGTCAGTAAGTACCAAGAGGGGTTACTTTATGCTAAGTGTTCGAAGACAGCCTCACTGAAAAGGTAACATCAAAGTAGAAGCCTCAAGGAAGTAAGGAATGGAACCAGCCCCCTGCATTGTGTGTTAAAGCGTACTGGTTAAATAAACACCTAACCTGGAAATATCTCAGAGGCTTAATCATTCCACAATCATATTTAAGATTTTTTACGGCAAGCCCCCTTGAACGATCAGAAGTCATTTCTATGCAACAATGAACAGGATTAATACAGTTGCACAAGACTATCCCCAAACAGCAAAAAAGAAAATTCTAGGTTTAGAGAATGGAATTCATTTTACAGGAATTTGGGGGGAACAGACAACAGCCAAAAGACTAACAAACTGAATTCCTCAAAACCCAACTCAAAATAAACTGGGTTACTTCAGTGGGGCATGTGCTCTAAGACAGGTGGTAAGGTTAAGAAATGGAGCAAAATATATAAGATTAATAGACAGGAAATCAGTTTAGAGAAAGTGGGGCCTCAGAACAAACAGCTCCTGTTAGAGAAATACAAGCCACCGGTCACAAGATGGACTGGATTAAGCGTGGGAGCGGAACAAAGGAAACCAATCAACACCATTAGAGAAACAGCTCAGAGGAGGCTTGCCTGACCCTGGGTCCACTTCTGTAAGAAAAAAGGAGAAGTCCTGAAGACAATTAATTAGATAAAAAACAGCTGGGCCATTACCAATCCCCTTTTATCTTCATCTGATGATAGCACGACTACTGCAGGAAGCCACCGTCACACTTATGTGAGTTTCTGCAGTGCAGAGTGACAGACACACAGATTCCCCTTAGGAAAACGGGACATTTGTTAGGAACCCATAAAAATCTAACTTTTCTGATTGAAGAGAAAGAAAGAAAGAAAAGAAAAAACTATCATATCCTCTCTTGATGGACAGATGAGACAGAAGGTGTTCTCAGTGTGGGCAACTTCATCTCACACAAGCCTGGAATTTCTTCCAGAAGTTCTCAGTTTTGCCCCCCAGGGTACAGTTAGCAAGGGTTGTAAACATTTTTGGTTGTCACGACTGTAGGGGAGGGGGAAGTGTGCCACTGACATCAAGTCAGCAAAAGCCAAGAATGCTGCCATTCTCAAAGGCCAAAGAATTATCCAGGCCAAATGTGAGGCATGCCAAGGCTGGGATACCCCGGTCTAGAAATGCCCTGACTGACGTGCCATCCAACCAAGGGCCTAGGCAGATGCTAGAAAAAAAATGATGACAGTCAGCCAATGCCTATAAGCAAAACCTCTTCATGAAACAAAGACAAGTCTTTCAGAAATAATTTAAAATTAAAAATATTGACTAGAGGTTAATCAAAGGTCAGCATGACAATGTTAGGTAGTTTAGTTTCTGATTCTTATTTGACCCAAGTTAGGAAGGGCGATGGTGACGAGGATAATGAAGATGATGATGACCAGGCGATGGGGTTGGCTAATGCTTGTTACTGTTTCCTGATCTCACTGTATTACGGTCAAACAACATGGTCTATGCTATTCCCACTCTGTCTCCCTGGCCAGGCTTCCTGTACCCACTGTTTCATGTCTGGGCCACTGACACCCCACTGCTCCCCTCCTTGACGTCTCAGCCCCAATGTCACCCTCTCAGAAGGCACCAGTGGTCTTATCTAAAGGACACCTTGCTGCCTTCCTCCTAAGTCTATCACATGGGCTGTTGTCATAGCTCCTTAGGACAGGTTTGTAATCACGTATCTATTACCTTCCTTATTTAAAAACCATCTCACCCCTAACACTGGAACTTCTGGGCAATACATTTCAACTCTTTGGACCACAACCTGCAGTGAGAAATGTGTTTTACACTGTAAACTACTAGACATACAGTTTCCTGAGAGTTTCCTAAAACACTTAGCACAATGTTCGGTGCATCCCAATATTTTCTACTTAGGTGCCAACTGTGGCCCTCTACCCTGACTTCACACCTCACTCCTGTGGGCTGCAAAAACCACAGTTTGAGAACACTACCAGGGCAGCAAGCATGCCTATCTGGATCCTCAGTGCCCAGCCTTGACCCACTATTCAGACTCAAATACTGAATTAATGGTCCTGGCCTTCAAAATGGGAGCAGTCTACAAGGAGAGACAGAGCCAGGGGTCATGATCAAAACATGGCCTTAGGGTCAGATCTGGCTGGACTCACTTCTCCTAGATCTATGCTTTCATAGCGCAGGGACAATGAACAAGACACTTAACTTCCCTGGCCCATTATTTTTCTAGTGATAAAATAAGAATGATGCTGTAACACCTAACTCATAGAATGACTGTGAAAACTGAAGAAAAGCATGTAGGTACAAGTCATGGCGATTGACACCAGTGAGGGCTCAATATAAGGTAGCAATTCCGACGAGGGGTTCATAATGCCAACATCGTGGAGCATTCTTGAAGGAAAGAATCAAGAGTCTTAGAGATGGAGGAGCCCCCACTCCTTAGACAAGTCCTGTAC